AGATTTGAGTCGAATGAAGAAGTCATTACCGAAACAAACGCGTATTTTGAGAGCTTTGAGAAAACCTATTATTTGGAGAGAATAAGAAAATTAGAAAAACTCTGGACGAAATGTATCGAGCTATAAGGTGATTATGTAGAAAAATAAAATGTTTATTTGCCGAAAAAAATTTGTTTTATTTAAAATGTCACTGACTTATCAAACCGCCCTCGTATTTTAAATATTTTTAATAAAAAATTAAAATGGTTCTTTTGTATACTGCATGTTAAAGTTTTATAAAGCAGTATTCTATTAATATAAAAAAAAATTAAATTATAATAAGAAATTAGAAGTATATAGTCAAAAATCTGACCTTAAGTTTTGAATCATGTCTACCATTTGAAAGCTTTTTAATAGACTGTTCAAATTTCCTAAAGTTTATACACATGTTTAAATAGTATTTAAAAATATGAATTATAGAAGTTGAATGAGTAAACATATAAGCCTTTAAACCTTTAAGATAATATAACCCCCAGGATTACTTTTGAGTTTTTTAATGGAAAAATATGTAAAAACAAAAAATTTTAAATTTCTGTACAAAAGTTTTGATTTTGTTATCAGTTATATTTTTTTTAACCAAATCGTTTATTTTAAATCTATGGTTTTACGTCTGAATTTTGAAGACAAAAATAATGTAATATATTAAAAAAATATACAAATACGATTAGTCATCGCTTCTAATTTGACAGGCACCAGCCTGCCACTTGCATTCCAAACAAAATATATACCAACTATAAACTAATTAAAAATTCGATTATTTCCTAAGATCACTGATGATGAATAAATTTTTCTGTTTATCGTTTCTTTCTTTGATATTCGAAAACCCTCTAAATTTTAAATATAGCTTATTTGTCACTATAAAGAAAGTGTAGCCTTATCAATAACACTAATACATACTTTAAAAAAAAAACATTGTTATATTTTCATATCATCATTATCCCAGACAGAATGTGGAGAGGAGAGAAAAGAATTAAATATGTTACCGATAACATTGTGTGGTACAATTGTGGCTTCAAAACTGAATAGAATTTGGACTCCTGGATCTACAATTCAGAAAATTGAATACCCATAAGTCTAGAAACAATGGCTACAACTTCTAAACTGAATTGTATGCCATAAATATTTGCGATAGAACGCTATTATTAGAAAAGTGAAAACATAATACGATCAATCTTTATGTCAAGCAGTCATTTAAACTCTCCACTGATTTGGGGTTCTTAGAAAACTTCCCTATTAGAAATTCAGTGATGGTAGTAAAGTGGTTAATGAATTGCCGAAGAAAGCTTTCGCAAGGCAACCATATGGGTCAAAGCCAATCATGGCTGTCAAAAATCATTTCAAAAGCCTGGGCTATATCAAAAAAGTTCTTCACAAATGATTTAACGTAGAAGGATTTCTTTGCATTAAGTTCCTTCCCCGAAATACTTCGAAAAGGAAAAGGAAATACCTACTAAAATTAAAAAAATCGGATTTAAAAACAATGATTGGTTCGATAACTGGTCACTGTCTATCAAACAAGTATAAAGTATAGTTACAACTATTAGAAGCCAACGAATGCAGACTATGTTTGGAGGACCCAAAAATATTCCTACATACCCTAATGTATTGTAGGAGTAGAATTTTTCTTTAAGTATTGATCCACAAATTACAATAATCAAAGAACGATCTAGAATATATTAATAATTTTGTGGATATAGCTGAAGTGAATAAAATTTTTAATAGACTATAGAAACGGCATTTTACAATAGTCAAACAATGGGTGCAGTGTCTCACACAGTTAATATTCAAACTCTTATAATTATCATATAAAAATAATTTACTGGTTTCTGTTGATACTAAAACTGTTGATGATTAAATATCACCTGTTTGGTTTGAGGACTAAAATCTATATATCTAAAGTAAAACTTTTAAATCATAAAAGTCTTGTGTTTAAAAGACCGACCTGAATGGAACTTTTGATATTTAAATGTTAACTTTAAAAGTTGAGAGTGCGGTTAAGTATTCATAAGAGCATTAAATACATTATGATTATTATTTATCATGCCATTCATTTATATCAATAATATATTTTAAACGAAACTATTGTTTAAATAAATTTATTCGATCACTAATAAACTATAACTTCAAAAACTTATTTTTGTTAATTGAATGCAGTTGTTTCGAAATTTACCAAATACCCATGATCAGAGGCCACCTTTACAAATATTTTTGGAATTAATTATATTGCTTATAAAGTATAAATTAAGGTGTATCTGAACATAGAATAATGTTTGCATTTTAAAGTAACTGATTTCAGAGAAAAAAAAAATTCATTTATTGTATTTACTCATCTTAAATGTTTATAGAGAACAAGAATGACAAAAGATTTGCAAAATATATATAAAATATATATTTCAAAAAACTCACTTTTAATTTGGTTTTAACTCAGTTTGCACGTAACAAATATATTTGTATAAAAGTCGTAAAAGAAAATATCCTTATTTGAAGGACGTGTTATAACGGTTTTTGCGTTTATAGTACTCTTGTATTATATCTTGTTTTATTTAAAAAAAAATTTTTTCTTGTTTCTTAATCCATTAACCTCATGTACTTAATATACTTAAAAAAGAAAAACTTTTATCATTATAAGATATCTATCTCACATCAATATGCAAAATTATATTAATTTAAACCTGTATTACGTGTATTTTCTTTTTTCCTATAAGTATGCAATGTTATTTATATTTTTTTGTGGACTACTTTATATACATATGATTGACATATGAACTTTTTTAAATAAAGCTTGTTTGTTTAATGGAACTAAATTATAGCAATGCATTTAAAGTTTTTCTCATACTTTCTCAAATTCATGTTTTAAAATACTTACTCATGAAACGGAGAGGTGAAAGTGTTCTTTATTCCTACAAATAGGAAGATTACTTACGTAAAATCTAATGACATTTAGTCCGTCATTCTTCCTCCTGAAATCGCTTAAAGTGCTTGTCGATTACAATGAGCAATAGTGGGTAACATATTAACATCTTATTGCACACTTATTGCAGAGGTAAATTAGTGGTTGTAGATCATATAGAGCATTTTCGAAATGAAATGAAATTAAATGTAGCAAAGAGTGCAAAATTTCTGGAACTAATTTTTGGAAAAAAAAATCACCTGGAAACGCAACAAGGGGAAGAACTTTATAAATAAGTTCTTGCACTGAATCCAAATGTTATATATTCTGGAAGTACACGGCTATCGTTAGTCCAACCTATTCAATGGATCTCTCGTTTACTGATAAGCGGTAGACAAACATATTTATACCATATTTCTAGATAAAGTGCAATGATTGGCAACTGCTCTTGAAACTAAACCCAGAGATAAACACTCTCAAAGGCTTCTTACATAGTTCTATTCGTTTTTCTAATTTGAATCTCTGTCTTGCAGAGAGACTGTCGCTATGTCTTCGTTTAAACTAAACTTCACCATAGCATGGGGTGATATAAATACGCTAAGCACTTCAATAATTATGAAATGGCTCAAAGGTTTACTAACAAATCTCGATATATCACCCAAACTCCAACTTCCGTTTACATTCCGTCAAATAATGGCTAGTCTGTCTATATATGTATATAAGAACACGCCGAAACTAGCAAATTATTTTACGTGGCTTTTTATCAGTTACTCTCAAGAGGTCTTTAAGCTTTAGATTACCGGATTATTATAGTATTTTCCACGCTGAAACTAATAAAACAGCTAAGATGGTAATATTTAATATAACATTATCAACGTTGTATATATTTTCACGGATAATCAAGTTGCCACACGCAAGTGTAGAGATGAGTTCGAGATCAAGTTCAATAAGTTGCTCATTTCTAAGTGTGATACGTGCAATATGCATAGTTTAGCTAATTTAGTTTTTAGGTCACAGTTGGCCTATCGCAGAAACTGTTATATATTTTCAGATAAATAAAAGTATAAATAAAAAGCAAAAAATTATTGGCAGAGTGAAGAAATCTGTCACCTATCAATTTTGATCAATAACCATTTTTGAAACAGTAAGCACTATATTAAATTTAATGAGAAGTAGGGTATATATGCTTACTTCCGTACCTATGTATGCATGCGACAAGGTTAGGTGATTTCAGTTGCGACTGCCAGAATAAGAACATAAAAGAATCAATTGAACCCACGGTATTTACTGTCCGGGTATTCCTTCACAAAAGGTTAACTCCTGAGAGATTTTTACTTAAAGGAATTTATAAACCGCTTTCCGGCTGACACAACACGACTATTGGGAAACCATATATGGTTTTCCAAGAGGGTGCTTAGATAAATTTTAAATTTTCTGTTATTTTCATAATACTTCTAAATTAAAATAAATAATATTATTTAAAATATTGTAGAAAATACTTAAAATTGAACAATCATTCAGTTTTAAATAAAAAACGATACAAACGATCGTCTTTAATCCTCTTGACATGTGTTCAACCATATTCACAGAAAAGTGTTGATCTGTTAAAAAAGAGAAACGGTTTTTAAAATCTAGACAGAACAGTAGGTAAAACAGAAAAACAATGGATATTTCTAGATTGATTTGTTCCAAATATTTGATGAAGAATATATGTTATATAGTTCACTAAATACAAACTATAAATAAGTTTTCTTTATCAAATTCACTAAATACAAACTATAAATAAGTTTTCAAACTAAACTATTCGATTTCCCTGGTATAAATTCTTTGTTAGATATTGATAGGGTTGATAGGTATAGGATTGGTATTCTATAAGGTCTTGTAATAAAACTAGTTTCATACAAAATTAATTTAAGCTAATTTTTTATTTTTTACTTTGTTTTGTAATAAAATTATTTATAAAAAAACATCAATACAACACAACAACAATATCAAATTTAATGAAAATTATTTATAAATTCGATTATACTATAACTATAATAAATGTTTTAATTTAATTATATTAAATAATATTAAATAAAAAATTGCAATTTCCATACTGCTGTCATTTGGCATGTGGCCAACGGTTGCGGTATTGTTCATTCCACTCATTTGCTTGAAAATATGGGTTAGAATTCAAGCTGCCATGTAAGTCCCCAGTAGTAGCATTTAGGGAGAATTGATGCTGTGCGTTCGGTGGTGAGCGGTGAGCCTGATCAACATGATAAGGATGCAGCCGTTCTCTGTTCGCTGCGGCATACATGGCGTTATTTCTCTGTTGTAAAAAATTTTCTCGTTCAAGACTGGATACATCAATAGAGGCTCTGCGTAGAGGTGTGCGACGTGGATTACTTGGCGGTGCTCTCATATTTGCGTTGCAGTTTGCGTACATTGATTTTTGTAAAATTAACTTTTGCTGCATTGCGATGGGGTTTGAATCCGATTGCAAGAGTGATACTGAACCATTGATGTTGATTGATTGTGGTTGGCGGGAGGAGTAATATATTGGTGGTGTTTTTGGACGCAAGAAACCAGATAACGTATTATTATTTGAAACATTGGTATGGATACGTTCGGCATAATGATTGAATTGACTTGGTTCAGAATATAGCGAACCTAAAGTTCTGTGTTGTGGAATGTTTAGATCTGTAAAATTTGGCATATTCACACTTTGTTGAGATTGTTGATTATTTTGGAAATGCGATGGCATTGTTTGATGTTCGTATGCAGTTTCGGGTGAATGCAAGCTGGAAGAATATCTATGGTTATTTCCATTTAAACTAGAAAGAACTGAACGTTCTTGGCATAGATTCATTGGATTTTCTGCTGAATAAATCATATTTTCAGAAGTATTTGTGGGTATGATTCGAACAGATTTTAAGGATAAATCCTGACAATCACTGTTGAAGTGAGAGAAATTGTTTCTTTCTTGGGATAGATTAACTATACTATTTTGTTGGGCAAGAATGTGTTCCAGTTCTGGTTGGGCTGGGACTCGTACTTGTTGTGTTATACTTGGATTATGTATTTGAGATAAAATATGCTGATTATTTTCATCCGTAGGTAGTGTACCAAATAAAACTGATGAATTATCTGGATAATTTTCACAAGGATTTTGATTTTGTAGGTATTGATTTGGATTATTTTGGTGAATGTGAACATGGTCGTTACGAGATAAATTGTTCATATTTTGGCTTGAGTTCGTATGTAAAATGATTGAAGTTGGTTGACTTGCTATATTTTGCTGGGTGACTTGCGCTCTTAAAATGTTAGACGACTGTTGTGTTCCATAATTTTGTTCATTTGTTAGAGGGCGTTGCATTACATTGTGTGGAATATAAGTTGGTGCATTTTGGTTTCTTATAACAGTCTCGACTAAGTGTTCTCCATTCAAAACAACACCTTTTTGTTGAGGGTATGTAGAAAGTATTTGATGTGTAATATTTTCCTGATTATATAATTGCTTATTGAAAAGTGAGTTCTGTCCATTCGTTGGGTGGAGTTGTTGACTTTCCGTATGAACAACATTTACTGAATGCGGATCAATAGTCAATTGTTCATTTTGCGTTTGTGAAGGAGGTGTTGGTCTATGAATATGTGAATAATTTGTATTTCGTTTTTGAGTTTGTTGATGGTTGATTTCTGAAGACATTATATTTAGCTGAGGTTGATCGAGAACCATTGGTTCATTTTGCTGTCGAGTAGAAAACAGTGTATGATTATGTGACCCCTCAATGAATGATGCATTCGTTTGATTGTTTCTCGCGCTTGGAAGAACAGCATTTGCACTAATCTGCTGAAAAGTTGTTGGTTCATTTTGTCTCTGAATCATATTAGGAAACGCTGTATTAATTAATGAACTTCCTCCATCGGATACATGTATCTGCTGATTTTTAATACCTGCAAGAAATGCATTTTGTGAGTTCTGAGTAATAATTCCTTGTTCGGTTTGAGGAGGAGAAATATTTTCTACATGAGGTGCATTACCAATCGTTGAAGGTGAAATATTGGAAACTGAGTTGGTATGAATATTAGGTGGTGTTGAAGGATTAGGAAGGTTTACATTAGTGATTGACTGGCTCTCACCACTTAAATCGATAGAATTCAGATCAGCTATTGAACTGCTTATATGGTTCTGCTCTTGTTCTTTTGGTATAGATGAGCCCTTTGGTAGTGTAGCAGGAATCTGACAAGCACTGTTAATCCAATCAGTTAAATGAAAAAGTTTATTAGAATTCTTATGTTGGAGCTCATTACGAATGCCTGAACTTGTTTTATATTCAATGAATTGTAATATTTCTGATTTTTTGTTGCTCATGCAGTTAGCAAATATCTGAAGTACTTGTTTGGTTTGCGCTAAATACTTCTTATATGATATGTCGATTTGTGGAATTCGAATAATATCACGGTTATTTATAGTTGTTAACGATAAAAGGTATTCGGGAAAAATGGTATTGAATAAGTGTTCAAATTCTGCTTCGGTAGCACAATTATGTTGCATTTGTTTTTTGGGAGGCAGTTTTCTTGGTCTTTTGGCTGGAGTCTTTTTCGTAATTGAATCGTGGTAGAAGAATTCCAACCAAAACAGCAATTTTTCTATTTCACAATGAAGCTTACCAAAGTTCTGTGTATTTGTGCTGCAGATCTTTTGATATCGCAATTGAATATCCTGCTCCATTTGTTTAAAGTTGCTTACTTCCAGCTTTAGTTGTTTTATCTGATGATCAAACTCTTGTTGTTTTTTCGCGTTCTGAAGTTTCAGTTGATCTATTTCGAGTTGTTGTTGTTTGATTTGATGTTGCAATATTTCTTCTTGGGACGGAACTTGTTGCTGTGGAACCTCTGAGTTCTCCGTTTGTGTTTCTTGATCTACCGTTCCTTTTGGGAATTTCGATTGTATCTTCAATCGGATTTGTTGGTGTCGCAAAGTAGATAATTTTCTTTCCTGTTCTAATAACAGTTCTTTTCGCATATTTTTCTTATCGTATTCCGTTTTCTCTGGTAATTCTTCTTCTATTTGCATAGCTTCAACTGTTGTTTTTAGTTCTTTATTTTCTTCTCCGCTGTCATCAATTGGCGTGTTGTCTTCAGAACTGCACATGTTAGCAATACAAAGTTCTCTTAAATTTTGCTCCAAGTCCTGCACCGGTTGTAGTTGCACTTTTTCAGTTTTAAGTGAATTTATTACGTCTAATAGGGGATCTGCTGTTATGCAACCGTCATCCGGCCCTAAGTTAGCTGAATCCGCTATTCTGTAAATGATAAGTATGGTTTAGCATTTTTTTGAAATGAATAAATTTGAAGTTAATATGAAATTTTTATGACACAAAGGGTTTTTATTTGTTAGATACATGTTGGATTTAATTATGTATGCTTCGTGATATTTTATTAAAAGCTATAGTTATTTTCTACATGTTAGCATATGGAGTTAGAAATCGTCGTACATTTTAGATTATAATAAACTTATGATATGTGTTGTAGTAAGGCGCTTAGTTTTGTTGAGTTAATAGAAACTTGACTTTGTGTTATGTTGTCATTTTATCCAAATTTTACCTTGTAGTGTATTCTCTCTTAACATTTTGTGATGTATGGACCTCGTCGTTCGAATATGTCGTTTGATTTACTACATTTTCTTGTGGGTCTAATTCATCTGAACTATCAGGCAATTCGATTTTTATTTGAATGGTATCGTTCAAACTTGGCATGTCTATAAACTCTGATTGCTTATTGCTGGAAATTGAATTAGACTTAAATATGTAGGGGGGTGCCAGACTAGCACTACATATTACTTGTGTTATAATCATAAGTATTCGATACACTATGCTTACCTTGCTGCTTTCGACGTCTCTACGCTAGTATAGGTTGTTTTGCATTTATTACGCAGTTTATCTTTTATTTTTTCTATTCTTTCAGTCGAATTTAAATCATTTTCAACTCGAGTTACTTTTTCTGGAGATTCTTTTAATTTTTGGGAATTCATTTTTAATAAATTTTTAATTTTAACGTCATTCTAAAAAAATTAAATATATATTCTTTACAGTATACGTTTAAAAATGTAAAATGTTATATTATTATATGTAATATGTATTTAATGCAGATTTCAACATTTTTTTCAAATTTTTAGACTTTTGTTTAAATAATTCATTTATGCCCTCAACTAAGTTTATTTTTGTTAAATAATATGTTTACATATTAATACTATCGCAATATAAACAAGAGTAATTCAGGTTAATTATACAATTAACCTGAATATATCAATTCGTCAAAAAAATTCATATATATATATACTGCTACATTCAACTGCTATATTCTAAATGGATTTCGAATCAATGGCTGGAACTGGTCTACCTGGTCATAACTATACTACTATAAATAACACGTTATCTACGTAGATTTATTGAAGAAGCGATAGAAACTAAGCCGAAGAAGAATCAATTACTTAAATTCTCTAAAGAAACATTTGCCTAGTTTCGGCTAGCAAAAGAAATAGATTATTAGGGGAGTACTTTCTTGTATTAGTTCATCTATAGCAAAACGTGTTAGTAAAAATGCGAATAACTGCTAATTCTGTGACGTGGAAAGGTGTCTGCTGATAAACCAAATATAGAGTTACAAGACAGTAAATCATTATCATTAAACTATGACCACACTATGGTAAGTATAATGTCCTTAGATTGTATTAAGTCTCATACTGATTTGGATACGGTTTTTAAATAAATGTTTACTACAATTTTCGAAGTCAATTATACAGATGAAAAAATTACATCGGTTATATGTTGAGGTTTAGGATATATTACGTTTATGTGGTGTATTTTTACGAAGGCTGTTAAAATGTTAGAGGTGTCACAATTTACGAAGTTGAAGGACGTCTCAGCAATGAATTTTCAATTCCTATATTGTTCGCCTGGGATCATTAGGTATATGTGTGGCGTACCAGATTCCAGAGTCATTTGTATTTTTTATTAATTAAAATTAATTTATTTAATTAATTTATTGTAATTGTAAATATAAATTGAATATTATTTTAAAACTTATACTCTTTAACATATTTTTTATGTATTTGTATGGGTTTTGTATGAATGAATGAATGGCATATATTGCTGCTTATTTCTTGAGTTGAGTGTAATAGTCGAAATACTGGATTAGAAACGATCAGTGGATTAGTGTTAAGTAAATGTCAAATGTCAAATGTGTTTACATTACATGTCAAAATATGACAGAATTGACAAGTCAGTGTGGGTTTAAAAAATATCGTATCCTATAAATACGTAAAAGCCTTAAAATTAATAGAAACAATTTCAGTCGGTGAAATACTGTCCGTAGGAGTGCAACCATTGGTACTTGTGGTCGCAAAAAAATTATTCACGAATAATTAAATATAAGAAATAATTTCCAAGACCACTAATGATGGGTTAGGTATTTGGCAATACTCGAAACAGATGTATGGTTATCCAAAAATTCAATTAATTAAAATAATATAAAAAAATTTTTTTTGTTCTAGTTCACTACTTTTCGAAACCTCTCCATATTTTATGATAATTATTATTTATTATTATGAAAAAAATTAATTAATGCCTTTTATTTATGATCTGATTGAACTGAATTTCAAATGTTTTTTTTAAATACAAAAAACATTTTAATTATTTATTATTATACGTAATATATTATAATACTATATAATGTTTTATAGCAATTATAAAATATATTTAAATTTCGAATTATTAGATTTAAAAGCTATTTTTACAATCAATGTAATAATTGCATAAAAAAATAGTTAATATTAGATGGAGGGCGTAGCTCTTGTTAATGCAATTCATATAAAAAATATTCAACTCTAAACCCTGATATTCTGACAATTAAGCTATAACCACCTACAGCGAAAAATGGAAAAATTAGCTGACTATACTAAAATCTGTTATTGTTTATTATTATTACGAAGTTTTTAAACTATTATAAATATTTTATATATATATTTGTTGTATACTAGAATTTAAGGAAAAAAATTTCGCTGTTATCTCTAACAAACTAAATCTCCCTAAATTATACATCGATGGGACCTACAAATATATTCTGTTAAGAGAGATGTAAGATTGAAAGAACTAAATGTAAATATAAAATAGAAATCTAGAGGCTAGCAATAAGATTGCATTATTAAGAGAGATATATGTTTATGAAAGTAACCGTTTAACAGACCTTTCATTTCATATTGAACCTAATTTTTCTAAAAAATATCAAATAAATTATTCAGTGAAATTATTATTAAACAACTAATGCTAAAATTTGATAGTGTTAATATATTATATTATTTTTTGTATTTCGAAATATTTGAAGTTTCAATTTGGAATACAAAAAAAAATATTTTTTAAATTGGTATTTTCTGTGGTAAAAACTTACTGGCATAAAAAGACTTGTTTCAACACTTTGCCGTCTCTTTTTTGCAACTTCTCTGTAAAATTAAAATTATTAATTATTTGTTTATAGCCATTCATTAGTAAGTGTAATGTAAAAATATTGAACTTTATAATTTTTATTTTATTATAATTTGGAAAGAGACTGCAAAATAATAAAAAATTCTATGAATCACAAAAAAAAAGAACTACTCACAAGCTAATAGTATGTCGAGCCTCTAATGTTAATTTTAAGGCTTTTCTTTCTTCAATTGACATAGAATCCCATTCGAGCATTTCTCTAAAAAAATAATTTAATTAGGTTTTAAAAATTCTTTTAGTGATCTTTATTAAAAAAATAAATTTCAGTTTAAATAATGAAATCCATAATTCATAAATACGTTTGTGTGTAAAGAAAGAATCAGACATGTCCATAGCACTAGTAGTAACGACTAGCGACCCAATTTTTTACACAAAATTAGGGTTACATGATTTTACTACGCCCTGGTATCGCCCTGCAGAAATAAAATAATATTGTGACTATAGATCGCTTTATATGATCTTACCGCGCCCTGGTATCGCCCTGCGCAAATATAATAACATTGGAAATACCTGATGATGCGGAGCCTGCGAATCGAGCTCTTTCGTATATATATAATACTAGTTAGTGTTTCTTTTTTTGCTTCTCCCTCTTATCACTTTATTTTTTATTAGAATATAACATAGTTAATCTATTAGGTTAATTATAAGTTAGTTTCATGATTGTAATTAAAAAAAACTAGAAATGAACAAATATAAGAATTGAAATAAAAGGATTTAATTGACTCGGTAAATCAGACTCAAGTCGTAAGTACAAATCTTCTTGGAAGAGCCTTGGCTGCGGCTGAACTATCCCAACTATAGACATCCCCAACCTAAGGGGTTCATTACACTAACTACTAGTCACTTTAATAAAGTTCTTTTTGAAAAGTTTTAAAAAAAAATATATTGATATTAAAAGCTGACATATACTCAGATGTTCAATTAAAAGAACTAAATAGAATTGAAAAATAGAACACTGAAGACTAGCAATAACTTTGCCATTATGACCTAACATATAGTCAGATTTAAAAGGAGGGTTAATACTTTCAATAGTCACCACATATACCGATAAATATATCTGTATAATATTTATGCCAAATAATTTCTAAATAAAGTAACGGAATGTAGACTTCTTTATTTAGAGTTCATTTTTAAGATTGCTACCATATAAACAATTTAAAAATCGAAAATTTAAAGGTAAGAATAGTATAAGTATAGATATATAAAAATATTAAATTGATTCTTAAAAGGCATATTTTTGTATTGTATTCTTACAATACTTTTTTTTATTGTATTCTTAAGTCAACTCAGTAACTTAACTTTAAATTTTAAATATGTATTTAGATAAAGGTCTGGCTTACATTATACTAGTACATGATCACATTAGGTAAGTATATATTAGAGGCATAAATTTAAAAATAATCCATATAGAATTTTTCTTTCAATTAGGAATCAAAGATAATTCTATAACCAGTAAATATATTTATATGTGTATACAGTATGCCTTAGACTTAATGTTGTGAAACGTCCAAATAACAAACGACTAAATACTTATAAATAATAAACATACTAAAAATTTTCTATTTAAACATCGCTTGTAGAATACCTTCGAAATAACGAAAAACTCATCAAGTTAAGATATGGTTAACAGTAACAAAGAGTGACTTTCACATAGTCGTAAGGATATTTTGGAATTTTATTCCGAAAAGAATCAGTTGTTTGTTAGAATTTGAATTGATGATTCTTGCCTTTGAATAGAAATAAGACCTAATGATAACTATTGTCATTTAGCTATTAAATAAATGCAAATCATTAAAAATTTTATATAATTCTTCTAGAGATTTTGTAAAATTATTAATAATATTTTTGTGTTGTTGTATCTATGATTATAATAGTTAAGAGATGTACATATTTGAAATTCTAAAAAACCTTTTAATAGTCCTGTATTTGTTCAAAAATTTTATGTATAATCGAAACTTAACCAAAATTCAAACATTCATTATACTACACATTATTCAATTGCTTTTAAACATCATATTTCAAACTTTTTAAATCACTCGAAAAATTTCAGAAGCTCCCTTATCAATGCCTTCAATAGATGATAAATATATTTAATTAAAATTCTGGCTATATAATATACCTATATAGCTTAAGTATAAAATTTGAAGTAGAAGACAATTTAATTATATTTCCTATTCCAGTTATTTTTGTAGTGCTCTTATAATAACATACTTTTACCGTTATAGATGGCTTACATTTAGAAAAGAGATAATAGACCAGATTTGACCAATAAATCCCGAAAATATTGTGGAAAAGATTAGAGCGAATACAGTGAGATGGCAAACGATAGAGTCATATGTGCTCTAAACCCTCAAAGCGAAGAAATTAGACATATAAAGGAGAATCAGAGTCTAGCCTAATAAATAGTGCAGACACGAAGAAAATGCGGTGAAAAAGTGAAATTCTGGTAGCAGATCAGAAATCTCAAGAGCATGGCTGAAATTTTTTTTTA